ATTTTAATGGAAAAGCATGATGATGAGTTATCACCGAATGGAAAAATTGCTTTGCTTCGATAGAATGTTTAAGAGGAATTACTATAAAATATGAATACAAAATATCAAGCAAGTCTAAAATGAAAGTATTATTGTCAATAATTTACTCTTTTTTTGCAAGATAGTTCTGTTTTACATGCTATCTTACCAATAATAACAAGTTAAATACAATGAAAATATGTTACGCGTAAAAATTAAAGGTACAAATCAATTAAGTTCTTTTCGGGAACTAAAATAGAACAATAAAATAGTACAATAAAAAGTAAGTAATAAATTTGTATTTCATGTATACACGGACATTTTCCTGATAGTGCTTACAGGACTAGATCGCGTGCAAAAAGCACGGGCAGTGGCGCAACCAGATCGGTTCCAATATCGCAGCATAATTGCAATACAGCTATGCAATTAAATGTTATTGTTAATCTACGCTTATTTATTGATTGACAATTATTTACTGATCTATACTCTAGCGTTATCGCAGAGACATTCATAATTTATAAAGTTTTTTTTCGCGAATTTTTATTTAAGCCCGCTTTAGATGGTCTACCATTCGCGACACAAAGAATTTAGAATTCTATTTAATTAGGATTCTATTTAATTTCACGTACCGTGTTTTTTCTAAATATATTCATATTTCTGATATGTATTCTTCACATATGTATATTCTTTCAATGTTCCTTGGATTATAAAGTACATGAAATTGTGAATAGAATTCTACCGGAAATTACAAATCGTCTGAGATAAGTTTGAGAATAAAAAAAATGTGCTTATTACCATCGTTAATTTTACAGTTTTGTCGCGAAATTTGTTGGAAACTTTGTCCGTAGCAAAATGTTACATAACATCTGATACAATCTTGACGCTTTCGAAGAAACTTCCATATGCAGGGATATACATATAGTTACGCCACCAATCAGCAGAGATAATGCATTTTCTACCTGTATATACACTACACATTTTAATGTTTTTATATATATAACTATGATAGTCGCATATGTGGTGCGTTATGTACTTTTTATTAGCTACACGATTCGCATTTTTTATTCGTCTTTATTACAAATTTCGCACTTACTCTTCACGATTTATCATACGCGTCATATTATATGAATGATGTATTTGATATGATTATCTACAATGTTGATGATATAAAAGTAGGTTGCTCTGAGTTAAGTCCCATACATTGTTTAAATGCCGCAGTCACTAAATTATTCGTAAATAATACATAAACATAAACATCACGTAGATGCAATGGAATCTCGATGATGGATGCTATTCGATATGTGATATACATGTAACCAGTCGAGACACTGAGTATTATTTTTAATCGTTAATATGCGCAGTGTTAAACCATCAGGCAATATCAATGATTAAATTAAATTGATAAAAAAGAAAGACAGGAAATTCTGTTATAGGTTATAGATTCAACTAAAATTAATCGAAAAAGGTCACATTGTATTATTATTATCTTCGACAGATTTAATATTTTTAAATATCGTCATATTATACTCTTGGAAATAGATATGTCTGGCTTTTAAAATAATAAGTCTTATAAATATAAATATTTAATTAATGCTATGATCAGATAATATATTTTGTGAAATAATTCTTATATTTATGCCAAAGAAATGTCAATAATTAATACGTTTTTTTTTGCATATAATTCTCTTTGCAGAGAAAAGATATATATAAATATATGTATTAACTATTGCGCGTATATCTAAAACTAAAATAATTCTTTTTAGCATTGTTTTTCTAAATTGATTTGTCTATAAATTAATAAACGTTAATTATATTGATTTGCTATTTTAATCCAGCTTGAATTGTTTAAATTTGCAGAGCCATCCTGCGAAATAAATTAATTCCAAATATTCTAGTTTACAGAAAGACATTAATAAAAAATCAATATAAGTAGATAAATTTTTCTATAACAAATTAAAATTATCAAATAGAAATTGCTCACTCAATTATTTTTGTACGGATGCAATTAATCAATCTCTTTACTTTCATAACAATTTTCATGATATATTTATGTATAGATTGTTTAGTATTTCTTTCTGGTACTTCCTTCGATTTTTCAATGCTTCGTTGCTCTTCCAAATAACAAGAATTCTCCTTACTTCTTCCTTCATTACAGTCAGTTTTAACCTATTTTAAGATTCAACTTCCTTCATAATTAATTTTCAATAATAAACTCTCTACCGGAATACGTATGCATACATCAGTGAACAAAAACACAAAACGCCATGTGTAAGCCTGGCATCGTGATATTGTACTATGATTCAAACTGTACAGAGTGTCCCAGTTTACAGAATCTGTTACCCAAAGCTCTGATAGTTTAAGTAAAGTTCTGCTAATATTCGCGTCTATTACGATGCAAATATTGTAGATACGTTACGTAACGTTAATAATTAATGATACGGAAAGAGCAGTTAATTGCTGGTTGTGAGATTAATAGAAGAAATCGATACGGTATTTCTTAATAAATCTTTCGACCATCAAATATCGCATAAAATTATCCATAGTTGTTTCGTGAGATTCTCAAGCATTACGTATCATCGAGAAGTTTAGTTTATTCTATTTTATAGAAAAAAAAATTATATTTTTTATTCAATACTGCATATCACTGATAGTGATAATATATGTGGCTTTCAGCGGCGTCAGCCTACTTTCTAGTATATACAATACGTGTGGAATATAAAGCGAAATCTATTCACACGCAGTACGTCGATCACTGCGTGGAAATGATTTAAGGAGACTGAAAGCCTCCTCAGTCTTGACTTAATGCTATTATATATAATATATGTATATATGTAATTGTATTTATTATACATACTATATACAGATTATGATATACTCGGATTTATTTTCGGGAAAATAGAATTATTAAAATATTAATTACACACTTTAAATACCACATAATTTATAAGATGTAAACTGAAATTATAAAATGCAATTTTTTCTTGTCTTCAAATTTTAGAATACAAATTTAAATGAAATGATTAAACATTAAAATTGATAATCTTGCTTAAGAGCTACTTAAGCAAAATTTTTATGAAAAGAGAGAAATCAATAATTTAATAGTTTCGCTGAAAAATCTGAGGAATGCCGATATGGCATTACATTTATATATTGTGTCTATATATATAGTACATATTGTAATTATACCGATACTATACATAATACTATACAGAGAGTTATTATAGAATAGATTTTAGCTAACGCGAACGTCCTTATCGGTACATATTCTAATGAACAATCCAGGATGTCCGTCGAAGATTCTCTTTTGGTGCGAGTCATCAAGCGATGGGGATGAATATAACACGCCCCGTATATTCTATGAAATTAAAGTTAGCTACTTTATGCACATGATAACTGTTTTAAATCAAAATTCAGGAGTTCACGGAGAATCATGTAAAATGATGCCGATGTCACTGCATCGATGCGAATTTAATATCTTGTCAGAGAAGACAGCTATCTATTGAATAAGACGAGATAAATCGCGCAATCTACTTTTACAGGCTCACGTTGCTAAGAAATACGTACCATCTCATTTACAAGAATAAAACATTGCTTGAAACTACATAGAGAGAGAATAAGCAAGAGAGAAAAAAGAGGAAGACAAAGTAACATAGTATAAGAAGAAACTTTGCCATCTTCGTAATATTGAAAAGTGTTCATGTTCTTCGTGAAAAAATAAAATTCAAACTTTTAATACATATATTCTTAATCGCTTAAAGTTATTTGTGAAATAAATCAATAGAAAATAATTAGAAATTTTTATAAAGTACTTGAATTTTCCATTTATACAGCGATATATTCTCAAAATATCTGATACGTTTTTAGATTTGTAGAGAAGGATTAAAAGTACGAAAGAGGTTTAAATCTGTCTTGTTGATCCTTTTACTTGAATCGGATGTAGCACTGTCGTATAAGTAATCTAATAATATCTAAGCTATCTTCTTCTTCAATTGATGTAACCGCATCGTCGCATCGTCGCATTGTCGTTCGGCCATCGATTCGTAATCGATGTTCAACGTTGGGATGCACCCATTGTCCGGATAGCCAATTAAAAATGACGCAAAACAATGTCAATAGTGTTCATCTTTCGTTGACCTATTTCTTCATAGAAATTTATCTTCTCAATTTTCGCTTATTGCTTGTTGTCAAGATTGATCATTATCAGATTTTATTCTCGTTTACTCAATCGATAAGAAATACTTCTATTATTTTATAGACAAGTTTTTTTTAGATATATATGCAAAAAGCTATTTCACAATATTGTGAAATAATTATAACACAAAATTATTGATACCAAGCAAAAAACAAGAGTTCTTCTTTTAAGAATGTATTGGACGGACCATCTGTCTCAAAAGTTAATCCAAAGTACCAAAAAATTAAAGTTAGGCAGAATACGAATTCTAATTGATCAAAAATTTTTTAAAAATCACGAAATTATACTTCAAAGTATTCTTTAATATGAATAGATCTTAATTTCCAAGAAAATGTTGCCACGTTTTATCATTAATATTACGTCAGATCGATAATCACAGTTATTTTTTAATAATAATTTCAAAACGAGCAAGTAAATCGTTTGAAAACTTTGTGGGAACATTTTTATATGTTTGAAGAATATAATATTACAGAATGAAATTTTTATCATTGTTTTCTTATAGTTTGTGAATAATTTATTACCTGTCTCTTGAACGTTTACATAAGATCCTATGTTAAAATCGCAAAATTCAAAAATTAATAACTTTTAAAACAGCAAGTAAAAAAAATTTGAAATAATTCATGACGATTTAGAATGTTATTAAGAATGTTAAATTAAAAATTCACGGCAATCTCATTGATTGTAATATATCTCCAATACATCCTTAAGTAAAAATTATATTAAAATAATTAAGAGAATAATCAAAATATTAATTTAAAATATTTTCAAAAATTTGATACTTTATCACGGTTGTTATAATGTTTAAAATTTACAGATTATTCAGTTACCTCTGCGGTTGCTAATTCACAAATTCCCATAAATAAAGAGTAGGCGTTTCCCAACGTTGCAACATGATTTCGGCCACATAAGATTTGCGCACCGAACTCCAGACCCGAAATTGTCCGCAATGACCATCCCTTAAGTCGTAATCCTCCCTTAGCGAGCTCCGCACTAGCGGAGCCGCCACTAATGCTACTTACAGTATTATTATCTTATCGTTTAAATTTAAAGTGTAGTGTGGTCAACGCAGTCCTCGACGATATTCATCCTCGACTGAAGTCCCTGAGCGATGGATTTACAAGTGGATGTACAAAGTCACATGGTTCGATGATCGAAGTACGCGCGTGATGGCGTGCAATGCCGTTGCTGATAGATTTCAGGCAGGATGCAGCGTACGCATTTGCGGATGATGATGGAGGCAGAGGCACAGCGCGACGAGAATCATCAAGAGTAACGAGCTGCCATTGCTGTTGGCGCTGGATCCATAGTCCGTTACGTCGCCATTGTTCTCCTTACGACCTCGTAGGTTCAGATCTATAATGGCAGATTTTAAAATACATATTGTCACTCTCTAAAAGCGAATCAGTGTATTATCACTGAAAAACAGAAAATAGTCACTGATTACAGCAGTTATAAGTACAGCAATGTAAATCAGTGATATTTTATTGAAAGAATCAGTTAATAATTTTGACTGTTTCAATCAGTAATATTTCTCAATATCAGTAATATTCCTTTCGTTATTGTCAGTAATATTAAACTACAATTCATCTCTCTATCTATTTCATATAAAATTAAAAATTTTATTTATATTTACTAAATATTTATTAAATTAAAAATTTTATTTTATTTATATTACATGCATATTGAATTTGTTATTTTAAATAGTTAACGAACAAATAATTTTTATTAAGTCGCCAGACATTTATTTTGTCCGACTTATAAATATCAATTTAATATCTGAAGCCTCTCTATTGAGATTGCATCGGAAATTAAATCGAAGTAATACTTCTAATTTTAAATGTCCCTCTTTGCAAACTTTATATAATTCTTATAACTAAAATTAAATACGAGAGAGATAGCGATCGTAGCGGTAAATGAACGGACTATCGATTACTGGTTTTACAGTAAAATTTACTGATTTTACAGTGAATTTTATTTTAGCTGAGCATAATCAGTGAGATATAAGATAAAATAACGGAAAAATAAGCGTTTCCACGCGAAGATCAGTAAAATACTCACTGATTCTCAATGAAATCTTAGTTTACTATTTAAATTAGTGATATTTTCACTGATTCACTTTTAGAGAGCAGGATAGAGTATTGTATTATCATAAAAGAGAAATGAAAAAAACTTTAATTTTTTAGCTTGAAAGCGCAACATTTACGATGATTTTCATGCGAATAATAAGGAACCAAAACGTCATTCGATTTATCGAATTTATAACAGATGATTGAAAATATTTAAGATATTGAAATGAATTAAGAAGAGTACTCGACATGCAATCATCTTTATTAAATTTTGATGTTCAATATGTACCTGGATCTTTTAGCATATCTTGATTTCCCCCCAGGATATCGTTTCCTGAATTATGTTTTGGTTTACCTGTAAACAGAGTGAAATATTGATCGATTTCGTTCCACCTTGAGGCAAAGTTTATATTTTGATATTGTCAATATTGCTTAAGTAAATATTTACGGATACTTTTATTCATAAGCAATAATTATATAAATATTTCGTTATCTTCATCCTCTTAGGTCTTTATCCAGATTTTTATCAGGTCAATTTTGTAACAATGTTATAGCACTGTTAATCGGCAATCGTTAAATATACCAATTACGAAGTTTTATTTAATAACTTACTTTGTTACGTAAACGTGAACAAATCAGTGTTGCCAAACTTTCGTAAATTTACGAATGAAACATTCAATCGAGTCCTATTATTTCTGTTGTTTTCTCATTCCGTCTTCTTTGATTAATTGGTGCCCGTTGAATGTCTTTAAAGCAATTTATTTCGCGATGTGGTATTCGGTTTCGGGTGGTACGTCACGAGACTAATGACGACGGTTGTTAAATCAATTGCAAGAGAAATAGCGATGACAGCCGACACGAAGAGAGAAAACGATTTACGAGACTAGTTTATGTCGCGGAATAAATACATCCGAGCTAATATATTCGAATTGAGTTTACTTCTTCGATAGTGATTTAGTCTTTTCCAATAAATATTTTATGTGAGTCAACTTTTGGCCATAAAATCTTGACAAAAGCAATTTTTCAAAGATTCATTACCTTTTTGTTTTGAATTTGTTTATTTCAATCTTGCGCAATTTAAGCGGTAAGAGAAACGCTTTCAAAAAAATTGCATATGATTTTATTTTTACCATGTCAAAAATACGTAAATGGAGCAAATTTAATGTTAAATAACGATAAAAAGGTTTTAAAGCGGGTAAAGTAGAGGATCGCTATTGGAAAAGCGATTTAGCGTTTTGCTCGCGATGAGAGGGCGAGTTCGTTTGTCTCCGTGAAAAATGCGGCTTCGACCGTGTGTTTTCTCAAGTAATGAGAAGAACGAATGAAAACGTGGCCGTTCGTACTCGATAAGGCCAGTCCGTGGATTGCGAAAGGGTTTAAGGTATGACCAATGTGTTTGCCTTCACGTTGTTAAGTTTCCACCCCAGGAACGCCGCATCGTTTGTCCTCAAATTGACCCGTTCGTCCCGTCCCTATTATTTTTATCAGATGAATCCGACAAGAGACATTGAAATAACCTCATTAAGAATTAAGAATTGGATACGTGCGGTCAAATTCGCGCTTCGAGTCTCGCGATAGAAATGATCTATTTTCCGTTTTCCATTATTTTCGTGTCATATCCATGTATATTGTGTTTCGCGCATTTAACTCGGCGGGAGAGACCCGTATCTATACACAGAGGTGTATATTTAACCCTCGAAGCGTATGTGGCGAGGTGGAAAGAGTTCAATAAAATTGAGCCGCGACACACCGAGAGAGACCCGGTCTCTATAAATCTTCCATCGCGCGATGCAACGTCGCCTCCCAATCTGTTGGCATCAAAATATTTTGCATATATCGATTTCCGGGCGTCGGGCGAACGGGAAGTCGGACCGAAGACGGGTCAATAATAAATCCCGGATTTTTCATTATGATGGTGCGGAAGATACTTGGTGAAATATGAGAGTAAGCTGCTTTTTACGAGCAGCTCGCGTTGACATCGCCTTCGTGCGCCGATTATTTATTGCCGCTAGGAACGCGCGCGCTGCTAATTATGGTAATTTGTGTATACGGTTATACCATCGTACACTACTGCCAAAAAATTTCGCCTCCTCCTGGCCAGTGTTTGCTGGTATCTAGATAAAATTATCTAGATAATCATCTAGATAAAGAAATGGATCATCTTTATCTTTAACTAGATGAAGAAATACAAAGTATCTTTATCTTTATCTTAGATGAAAAATATATGTCATCTTATCTAAAAATTGTCTAAGATGACGTTTTCATTATGCAAAAAAGTTTTCCAAGCAAGCTTCTAAAAATCTATCTGAAATATCTAAAATATATTTTTTATATTATTATTATTAATATATTATAAATATATTATTATATATTCCCATATAGCACAGAAGCTTGCTGCAACGTTGCTGCAATGTTACAATATTACTCACTGCAGTGTAATGTTGCTGCACTAATGCAGAGACATTATTTTGTAATATTACTTTGGCAATGTTGTAGCAACGTTTTAACATAGCGAAAATGTATAACATGTGTTTCTTTACTTGCCGCTACGCGGTGACACCCAATTTAACTAACTCGTATTCGAATTCATTTAAGATGGATATAAGGTCTACAAAGGATTAATGTAGTAATTATATTTCTTGTGTCAGTTTAATTTCTGGCGATAAACTGACTTGATTTACTTAATCCTAATGAGGGATCTAGATTATTAAACAAATAATTTGTTTAATAATCTGGATCCTTTATTGGATTTCAGAATATTAAACAGATTTTTCTTAATTGAAAATAGAAAATAATAGAAAATAATTAATTTATTGCACATATTAAAATATTCTGATGTCGAATGTATGTAAAATAATTATATGTAATATTATTGAGATAAATATTTAAGAAATATCTAATAAAAACACTAATAGATGTTTTTTTAAAGGCATTTTTTCTTATCTTTCTGAAACATGTTTTTATATTTTCAAAGTTTATTTATTAAATTTAAAACGGTGTTTGCATTTGTAGCAAAACGCGTTTTAATATTATAAATACGTTGCACCGTAACATTGCTGCAATATTGCATTGCAATATTTCTACAAGCGGACATTTTACCGTTGCTGCAATATTGCAGCAACGTTGCAGCAATATTTTGCAACATTTCTGCAATGTTGCAATCTTGCAAAGAAATATTTCTGCAATGTTGCTGCAATATTTCTGTGCCGTATGGGTTATTAATATATTATAAATATATATCATTATATAATATTATATAATATATATTATTATATTATTAATATATTATAAATATATTATAAATATAAATTAATTAATAAATATTTATCATTTATATACCTTTGCTATTATTTAAATATTCTTTAGGAAAAGAGAAAGAATATGTGTTTATGATTTTAATATCCCATTTATAATCTGCGTCACATTTTTTACAAATATTTATAGTCTTCTAAAATAAACAAAAATATCTATATAATTATCTAAATTATCTCATCTTTCATCTAGATTAAGTAAAAGCAAAATCATCTTCATCTCATCTAAGATAAATTTACGGATTTTGATCTTTATCTTTATCTAGCTAATTTTGAAATTATCTACAGCAAACACTGCTCCTGGCGAACGGACGGCAACACGTGCATTCGGAGGGTCGCGCGAAAAAAAGAAGAGAGAACCGTCGCAACGAGCCGATTTACGTCCAAGTAACGTTGATTGCGTAATGAAAAATTTCAATTCGCGCTCATATTTGCCTTTATTTCCAGCCATCTTGCGCTTTTCAGGACGACGACTGCATAAAGACCTGCGACGAGGCTCGTATTCGCGGCCGAGAGGAGTCCGCGTGGCCGTAAAAACATCGATTAGCCATAAAACGAAGATGGCGCGGAGATGTTTAAAGTTTTCCCGTTGCGAAATGAATCATTAAAGCAACGAGAGAGAAGACTCGAGCGTCTCGAAGCTATATCACGGCCGTCGGAAGTGTCTTAAAGCACATACTTCAAAGCCTGGATTTTATATCGGCATTTTTCATCCTGATATAGTAGTTATATTACGTTATAATAGCGCGCACCTTGCACGGTCAAGAAGCGCGACAGCGCGTCTCAGCCTTAAATACGTATCTATACCTATGAAACGTATGACTGATATGCACACAATCATCCATCATTTATACCACTTACTTATTTTCTCTTATTAAAAGGATTTTACGACTCGACTTTTCAGCATCGAATTAATAATGCAAATAATTATAATATATGCGGGTTATTATATATAAACAAATAGATTGTTTTATGTATGAAATATACTCTCTAAAAGTGAACCAGTGAAAATATCACTAATTTAAACAGTAAAATAAGATTTCACTGAGAATAGTGAATATTTTACTGATCTTCGCGTGAAAACGCTTATTTTTTCGTTATTTTATCTTATATCTCACTGATTATGCTCAGTTAAAATAAAATTCACTGTAAAATCAGTAAATTTTACTGTAAAACCAGTAATCGATAGTTCGTTTATTTATCGTTATAATTGCTATCTCTCTCGTATTTAATTTTATTTATAAGAATTATATAAAATTTGCAAAGAGTGACATTTAAAATTAGAAGTATTACTTCGATTTAATTTCCGATCCAATCTCAATAGAGAGGCTTCAGATATTAAATCGATTTTTATAAGTCGGACAAATAAATGTCTGGCGACTTAATGAAAATTATTTGTTCGTTATCTATTTAAAATAACAAGTTCAATATGCATGTAATATAAATAAAATAAAATTTTTAATATAATAAATATTTAGTAAATATAAATAAAATTTTTAATTTTATATGAAATAGATAGAGAGATGAATTATAGTTTAATATTACTGACAATAACAAAAGAAATATTACTGATATTGAAAAATATTACTCATTGAAACAGTCAAAATTATTAACTGATTCTTTCAATAAAATATCACTGATTTACATTGCTGTACTTATAACTGCTGTAATCAGTGACTATTTACTGTTTTTCAATGATAATACATTGATTCACTTTTAGAGAATAAAAATATTAGTAATGTTTTTAAATATTCGCTCGAAAAATGTAATTTACAAAAATATCAGGTCTGTTTATTGTTTCAGTATTTCGCGATTAAATATATATTTTTACAGCGAATAATAAAAAAGTTCAACGTAAAGATAATAGAATACTTTGCGTTTAGTTAATATTCGGGCAAAGTGCAACGAAATACAGTGAAGCACGATGCGGAGAGCACTGACATGTAATTTACCATCTCCTTTGAGGGGCCGATGTATTGTAGCACAAAGCTCTTGCTGTATTATTATCTCTTTGAATATATCAAAATGTACTCGAAATACCGCGCAGAGAGAAAAGAGTCTTTCGTGAATTGATACTCTAAACATTCGTTCGCCATGAATTCATCCCCCGATTCGCATGCTAAAGATACATTTGATAATGTAATATGTAATGTAATACGAAAGAAAAATCAAAGAGACGAAATTAAATAATTTATCATCTATTTTCCAGATGCGTGTGCGCATTCATCGTTTTAAAATTAATTACATCTATAAAATTTTCATATTAATAATGTGACGACTGTTAAAACCATGATATGCTCTTCTCCGTCCTTTTACAAGTACATATTGAACGTTCTTCTCCCCGGAGGAACTTCTAAGTATCTCGCTAAGAGATACGCGCCAAGTTATTCGACGGAAAGTATGTCGTACGCATGGCTGTGCGAGATGCTGACGCGTTCGCGCGAGTACAAGAAGAGGCCGAGGAGCGAACTCCCTTCGGAAAGTTCAGCCCTGCTCTTTTCTCCGCGCGATGAAAGGCAGATTGGCGGCGCAACGAGGGCGGCAGGTGCAAGAGAGCCGAAATGGTATTCATCCGGGTCTCTTTAAAAAGTCGTTTCTCTAAACGTCTATCTACGCTATCGCGATATCTCCCGCACCGCGCGTTCCGCGAGCGCGGAGCTTGCATCAAGCCTCGCGCAGACTTTTGTACGCGTTTCGTCCGCGACGGCGGCCTGTCGTGAAAACGAGACGGTCCGGGTAACCCGACACGACGACGGCTCCTATTCATCCGCGGTTTCATGCTGAAATAGTGCCGACCCTCCCCTGGAACCTGCGCACTTGACGATGGAGAAGCTCGAACTTGGTCGGATGGAAAACTTGAAATGCCTTTAACAAGCGGGGATGACATGAATTCGCGTAGACGCACGGCCTTTGTTGCGTTCCACGATGGATTATATATATATATATATATATATATATATATATATATATATATATATATATCTCTCTTTCGCCGTTGATAAAAATTACGATCCGGCGATATTTGATAATATTCTGCGAGATGAAGAACGAGCAATTTACGCGGCTGCATTTTTCTTTTTTAATAATAATCTATATTTCTACAACGGTATAATATACAGGATGTTTCTTAATAAGTGCACTGAGAAAAATCGTTTGATTGTACCAACAAGACGTATATGATTGAAGGCATTTTGGTTAAATCAGACAAGAATTTCTACTTATTATGATAAGACTCGATTTTTTAAATCAAGAACGTTTAAGGATGTATTGGACGGATCGTCTGTCTCAAAAGTTAATCCGTTTAGATTTTTATTAAATGCCCCAAACATTGACATACTCGAGTCGGTTGTATTTATACATAATCTTCTTCTTAGTTCTTTATTTACGCGGCTGCATTTTTCTTTTTTAATAATAATCTATATTCCTACAACGGTATAATATACAGGATATTTCTTAATAAGTGCACTGAGAAAAATCATTTGATTGTACCAACAAGACGTATATGATTGAAGGCATTTTGGTTAAATCAAACAAGAATTTCTAATTATCATGATAAGACTCGATTTTATATAATTAGAACGTTTAATAAATTTTACTATAAGGATTTGGTTAGTATTTTCTGGTTGGATCTATAAAATTTCTTGTTACATTAATTTTTTGCTTCTTTAATTAATTACTTGCTTCTTAACTTAACTCGTATTCAATATTTGTCATAAAATGTATATAAAGAACTAGTTAACATTAAATCCAAAGTATATTTTTTTTTCTTACGAGCAGTAGTGCCAGAAAGAGGAGCTCTCTGATTGTGTGTTTGAGCTGCATCTTCTTCTTGCATCGCTGTTTATCAGTTTAATTTCTAACAAACTGAATTTAAAATAATTTATTTAATAAACTGGATTGAATTTATGCAATAATCTTGTTGAAATTTAGAATATTAAACAGACTTTTGAAACTAAATGGAAAAAATTTTAGACGACTTGGTGCTGGCGACTTTAGTATTATTAATAAAAAAATTTGATAAATTTAACAGGAAGAAATTAATCAGATTCATCTGATAATTCCTACAAGAATTCTGGTTCGTCCATTTTTCAACATACTGGTTGAATCTACCAGAATTCTAATTAATGCAACCAGATTTTTTTCTTTGTGCGAAAAATTTTAGGAGATGATTCTTTGTCGAAAATTAAGAGACTTTTTCATATAAACATATACTCCTACATGTTTTTCATATAAACATATACTCCTACATCTCTCCCTGAGAGTTACACTCCTCCAAAAATCAGATAAAAATTAAGTTTTTATTTTTTTCTCAAACTTGGAACAAGTTAAACAAATGAAATTAGGTGGATACTTTCTACTAGTGTGTAAAAAGGATATTTATTAATATTTTTTTCAGCCTCCCGTATTGTTATAAGGGAATGAAACTAGGAATCCCTGTTGAATTTTTTATTAGAACTTTTTATGTTTATATGAAAAACCTCCCTTAATTTTCGACAAAGAATCATCTTCTAAAATTTTTCGCACTTATTAAGAATACCTTGTATATCATAAAACGTATTTTGAAAATTAACTCGTGAAAATTATAACAAAAGAACATGTTTTATATCAGACATTTGTATAAGAGATTTTCCCAATTAAAACACAAAGAATAAAAGATAATGCCGAGATTATACATTGTTTACTACATAACTGTACAATGCTAAAACGTGCACTTTAGGCTGGGCTCAGAGTGTGTTCGATGCACTGATTCGATCGCACAAACTGACTACTCGATCTAATTAATCAGCAACCCGCGTTTGTCCGCTGGAGAAGTACACTACGTTCCATCATTCAAAAAGTACCTCTCAACACAAAGCGAGCAATAAGGGCGAATGATCGATTTATATTTCGAACAACGAGATTGGAATAAAGCAGTTAATTAATCAATGGCTTAGCCATCTCTCGACGAGGTAGCTTCATTCGCGATTCCATTGAAATTCATAAGTCAATTTCAAAATTAAATCATGACTTTCTGTCAAGAAAGATTTCTTCTCATCGATACAAAAAACCTATGATCCTGAATGAAACTTATGATGAATTTTTTTTAAAAAATGTGTAAAAGAGCTATATATTTTCTGCATGAAAAAGGAAAATTACGCTTTGGTTCTATCGCTGCTCTACACTGATAAAAAAATTTGGTTGCATTAATTAGAATTCTGGTAGATTCAACCAGTATGTCTGTTAGAAAATGGACGAACCAGAATTCTTGCAGGAATTACCAGATGAATCTGATTAATTTCTTCCTGTTAAATTTACCAAATTTTCTGGTTAATAATACACGGTAAAAAACATTTTATATTTCTGTTAAAATTTTCTCGTGTAAACATTTTTGTGTTAAATTTTTAACATACTCTTATGTTAATGTAACATATTATCATTGTGTTATTTTGACATTTCTGCGTTGAGTTAATATTCACTGCTTCTAAGAGTTAAAACAACACAATTAATATGTACATGCACGAATTTTTGATGAAATATGTTATATGTTAAAATGAATAGATAAGTTGCGTTATTTTTCTCTCTATAACAGTTTCCATATGTTAAGTCGACATATTTCCTCTGCTATTTATCATAAAAATGTAAGAATAACATTTTCTTTTAATTAAATTTAACATTATAAATATGTTAATTTAACATAAATTTTATTTCCAGATAAAGTTTAAGTGTTACACTTTTGTGTTAATTTTTAAACACATTACTTGTGTTATTTATTTACATACTTGCCTTCTGTTAAATTAACATTAAAATTAGAGTGAATAAATTGGGACATGTGAAATATGTTAAATTTAACACAAAATTTTTTACTGTGTACTAAACTCGCCAGCACCAAGTCTAAAATTTTTTCCATCTAATCTCAAAGGTCTGTTTAATATTCTGAATTTCAACACGATTATTGCATAAATTCAATCCAGATTATTGAATAAATTATTTTAAATTCAATTTGTTAAAAATTAAATTGTACTGAGAAAAAATCTGGTTGCATTAATTAGAATTCTGGTAGATTCAATCAGTATGTCTGTTGGAAAATGGACGAACCAGAATTCTTGTAGAAATTACCAGATGAATCTGATTAATTTCTTCCTGTTAAATTTACCAAATTTTCTGGTTAATAATATTAAACACCCCAGCACCAAGTCGTCTAAAATTTTTTCCATCTAATCTCAAAAGTCTGTTTAATATTCTGAATTCCAACAAGATTATTGCATAAATTCAATCCAGATTATTGAATAAATTATTTTAAATTCAATTTGTTAAAAATTAAACTGTACTGAGAAAAAATCTGATTGCATTAATTAGAATTCTGGTAGATTCAATCAATATGTCTGTTGGAAAATGGACGAACCAGAATTCTTGCAGAAATTACCAGATGAATCTGATTAATTTTTTCCTGTTAAATTTACCAAATTTTCTGGTTAATAATACTAAACACCCCAGCACCAAGTCGTCTAAAATTTTTTCCATCTAATCTCAAAAGTCTGTTTAATATTCTGAATTCCAACACGATTATTGCATAAATTCAATCTAGATTATTGAATAAATTATTCTAAGTTCAGTTTGTTAGAAAGTAAACTGATAAACAGTGATGCAAGAAGAGGACGCAGCTCAAACACACACAATCAGAGAGCTACCTCTTTCTGGCATTACTGCTCGTAAGAGAAAAAAAATATACTTTGGATTTAACGTTAATACTAATTCTTTATATACATTTCATGGCAAATATTGAATACGAGTTAAGTTAAGAAGCAAGCAAAAAAATTAATGTAACAAGAAATTTTGTAGATCCAACCAGAAAATACTAACCAAATCCTTGTAGTAAAATCTGTTATATAAAATCGAGTTATAAAAAAATCGAGTCTTATCATGATAACTAGAAATTCTTGTTTGATTTGAATCAAAATGCCTTCAATCATATACGTCTTGTTGATACAATCAAATGATTTTTCTCAGTGTAACAATAAGTAGAAAATAGTACCTTTGTGCTTGGTGTTGCTGTCATTGGAAGTGGAGTTCAATATTGCTGAAACACAAATAATAGCGTTCAATATTATTCAAACGATACTACATCATGCACATCAAAGTGACGTCAGGCGCTTCTAAAGCGCGCGAACTGAAGAAGATGTCTCGAGTCGAGGGGATGCACTGAAGAGCGATTCGCGGCCCGACAGTTGTACGTAAGAAATAACGAGCGGAATGTACAACGCGGATAGTTTCTTTTCAAGTCACACTTTAACTCGCAACTTTGTTTATGCATGTCCTAACTCCTTGTTATCTTTTACTTTACGAGCGCAAACAGTTTCAACGCGCGTATACGTGCGCACTTTGCACTTGGCTGTTTTCAGAGAGCCGATTCACATATTGGATAGGTACTAACCCCGCAACCGTATAGGTATAACGCGTCAGTTGAGTGTATACAACAACTTTCCCAGAGAGCTGTGATTCCGAATCGAGGAGAGGCGTATCCCGTAGTCGCGGGAATATATTTTGCGAAATATTGTTTTATTCATAAGCGCGCGAGCACTTTTAAGAATAATAAGGTCTGACCTGCCTCGCGCCGGAATTCACTCGGTATTTCGTAAAAATTTCAACTATTTTAACACAGCTGCTGCTTAAGCTGCAGCCAGTGTACGAGCGAGCTATTTTACTGTTATTTTGTCGAAGCCAGATACGCCGGAGTGTCTCAAATATGTATATATGAAGGAAAATAATGCAATATATATATAGGGTGTCCCAAAACTCATAATTAATCTTTCAAAGACAGATTCCTGGGATCATCTGAAGACGATTGAATGACGAAAATGTCGAGGCACTAATAATTTTCGAATTATAAGTGATTGAAAATAAGGGGTTTTTCGTAAACTAAGCTTTGTAGAAATAAAATATTAACAAAATCACATTCTTCGATTAATTTTAAATAGAGTTTACTTTAGTTGAGTTTTAATTTAAGGCTTAATTGCAAAGATATATGATGACAAAAATTGGGAACATGCAAAAAATGATGGCCTTCATCGATATTTTCGTTGAAGAAAAATCGTCTCCAAATGATCTCAGGATCCTCTGTCTTTGAAAGATTGATTATGAGTTTTGGGACACCCTCTATATATATATACGAAGGAAAATAATGTAATTTTACTACAATTTAGTTTCGCTAAACATCGTTTATTATGAAATTTATTTACGGGAATTTCTCTCTGGTGCGTAGAAAAATAGCGAAAATTTTAAATGAGAAATGCTATAATTACACTTACGATAGACTTTAATGCTGCCGTCAGTGTCGCCCAGCGAATTTCTGGAGACACATTTGTACGAGCCGTAATCCGTTGGACTGACAGAGTTTATCGTCAGTTTCATGTGTATTTTGTACGCGTTATCTTTCAGCACTGGCTCGTATTTTCCTCCTGCAACAAATTGCAATTTCGTTAGTAATGCGTCGCACAGTTTTATTTCACCCCCCCCTTTGTTTCATTTTTTCCCCATGTCGTCAAAATAAAAGATAAATTCTCCCGAAGTGCGCGCGGTCGCCGAATTACATCGATTGAATTAAAGCGATATCTCAAAAAAATAATACGTGGACATTATATATCCGCGCTCTTTGCCCCAATTTCAGAAAAATCACGTTTAAATCAACTAGACACGTGAGCGCATACGGGAATAGAAAAAAAAAGGAAAAACAAAAAAATTCGCTTTTCCGTCATGTGCTGTCAGTCACGTCCGCCCGGGGTTACCCGTCATTCCCTTGACGTGATTTACTCTTTTGGGTGGAGCTTGAAAATAGAAGTACGACCGAATCACGGGTATTTTTATCGGAATATGCGGCTGTAATCGAGGGCTTTTAAATGATCGTCTGTCCTTCGTGCATCCATGGTATGTGGGTCAACCACGATGCGGTGACAATATGAAAAATCTCATAGAAACTCGTACTCGGCCGTCTCCTTCTATAATAAAAGCCATAGCTGGATGAGAAAGTCGGAATTCAACAAAGAGATCTGTTTCCTAATTATTTCCTGTTTAAAAAAGTCGGACGGTTTAATAAGCGGTTGGCGCGACTTATCTGTGTCTCGGGAAATTTTTCTCTTGCGCATTCCATCACTGATTTTACAGATGGGTTTTTTCACTCATCTCCGAAAGAAGAAAGAAAAATTAGCGCAAACGTTTTTAAAGATATATTGGAGATATATCACAATCAATGAGATCGCCGTGAATTTTTAATTTAACATTCTTAATAACATTCTAAATCATCATGAATTATTTCAAATTTTTTTACTTGCTCCTTTAAAAGTTATTAATTTTTGAATTTTGCAATTTTAACATAGGATCTTATGTAAACGTTCAAAAGACAGGTAATAAATTATTCACAAACTATGAAAAAAACAATGATAAAAATTTCATTTTGTAATATTATATTCTTCATACATGTAAAAATGTTTCCACAAAGTTTTAAAACGATTTACTTGCTCATTTTGAAATTATTATTAAAACATAACTGTGATTATCGGTTTGACGCAATATTGATGATAAAACGTGGCAACATTTTCTTGGAAATTAAGACCTATTTATATTAAAGAATACTTTGAAGTATAATTTCGTGATTTTTTAAAAATTTTCGATCAATTAGAATTCGTATTCTGCCTAACTTAAATTTTTTGATACTTTGGATTAACTTTTGAGACTGACGGTCCGTCCAATACATCCTTAAGGATGTTTTGTATGTATAATCTCAGCAAAAATTAGCTGAAAATCAATAATGATAAATATATCCACTTTTGGTTTATTTTTAGTAAGAAATTGTGTGGAATATTACAATTTGATCTTAACTACAGTGCAGAGATGTATTTTTTAATATTTATTGCGTTTTTTAAAATATTCCGAATTTTGTTAATCGAAATGATTAATTTTTGGCAGAGAATTTCGCCTTGTGACAGATACATGGCTAACTTCATTGAATTATATTTAATATCTTTTTAACCAGTTAGTATTTATATAATATATTATTTGACCAAATATTTCCTCTGTATTTAAACTTTTGCAAATTTTAAACAAATTCTGAATATTATTTCCATGTGTTTTTGTCATTTGAATCGACGTGGTTATACGTTTCCCATAAGAACACATGTTAATTCGGTGCAAATTAAAATCCTTATAACTTGTGAACGCTTTAGTGAATCGATTTAAAAATTGTACTGAGGATTCTAAACATATGTAAGGACATTCTGTACAATTTTCATTAAATTCTCAATATTTTGAAAATATGTACAAAACATCCTTAAAATGAAGAAAAGAAAAAAGAAAACAAAAAGAAAGAAATTTTGTTTATTGTTATTAATTGTCAACAATTTGCATCCGAATAATTTGAAATTTTTAGGAAATATTTTCAATATGATATATTTTAAGGAAATGTAAAAACATAAAGTAAACAAAAAGAAAGAAATTTTGTTTATTGTTATTAATTGTCAACAATTTGCATCCGAATAATTTGAAAATTTTAGGAAATATTTTCAATATGATATATTTTAAGGAAATGTAAAATGTGAATGATAAAAATCATTTTTTTTTATACGTTTCCCATAAGAACACATGTTAATTCGGTGCAAATTAAAATCCTTATAACTTGTGAACGCTTTAGTGAATCGATTTAAAAATTGTACTGAAGATTCTAAACACATGTAAGGACATTCTGTACAATTTTCATTAAATTCTCAATATTTTGAAAATAGATCCAATACATCCTTAAAAAGATAATAATTCAATAATAAAAGACATTTTATGTTCTACAGTCATAAATCATTTTACATTTTAGTTGTAAAAAAATTGTGTATAATTATACTCGAATATCGAGAATTATTATCCATTTGTCACTTATAGAGAATACATGCGATATTAAAAAATTATAAATTATAGCTGCAGAAAGTTGCTAAAATTATTTATACTACGATTTTATGACGACTATTATTGAACGTTTTTATAAATATCGGTTTTTCTATTATTTCCTCGTAACGTTATATATACAATTTCTTGTTCTGATTCTCTTGTAAATGTGTCATAAAATGGTGAATATCGATATTCGCGATCACGGAAAGCGCATTATCCGTCCCGAATCCATTCTGAGGTGAATCCAGAGTACGTTCCATCCACGACTGTATCCCTTTTATTGTTCCGTTTTGCATTTCGCGTCGGGCGCTTTTCGCGCGAGATACCATCTCGAGATAGCGTTTTGGAATCTTATGAACCGAGAACCACCGGAAGCACCGTTGAATGGCGCCGATCGAAACAGAAATTACGTTAACTTAAGATCACCGCGCGTCGAATACCGAACTAGCGTCGCGATAGACGACGTTATAGACGGGCCATCTTCCAACCTGATTGAGCTATTGTGACGTTTCACCTTTGACAGCCATGAGAATTCGTAGACGACTGTCGTTCTCAATGGCCGTTTCCGGCCCGAAATGGAACGTCGTTTATTATTACGTCGGCAGAGGCGATTTGCCGGCCGTTTTGATAAAACGCGGGATCTTAGATTGATTATGCAAGCTATGTCACGAGCAGGTGTAAGGCATAGGTCGAAATCGTCCAGTCCTCGACAGTAACGAGTCCAAATTTGTAGCTCGCTGTCATTTCGAATAAAATAGAAACGCGCGGTATGAAATTATTAAATTTAAAATATTTAAAAGAGGATATTATAAAGTAAAATCGAATGAAGGTGAAAATAACTTTTGCGAGAACTCTAAAAAATATTAATTAAAATATTCGTTGAGTTGCTCGTTGAAATGGAGAGAATTTTTGGATTATATTATTTTTGAGTTATATTATAGAAAATTTTTTTATATCAAAGAGAAGGTTGCATTTTAATTTATTTAGATTAACATTAAATTATACTTGTGAAAGGAATGAAATAATATTTTTAAATTATTCAAATCAGCCAACTCTTTTAACCTTTATACCTAGAACCAGTAAATTGCTACAAAGTCTTTATGTATGAGTACTTGACTGTAAAACTTCCTTTCGTGCCATTTCGCAAACTGAAAAGAAAAGATTATTGAGATGACAACTTTGCTCTTGTGAAAATGCTTTCGTAAAAATTGTTCGCCTAGAATTCGGCGATGGCTGTCAGTTTGGACGCTTGTTTCTAGAGGAGAAATTCCGTTTCTATTGTACTTGCTATCTGAAGGCGATCCGATTTATATATATATGGCAAAACTTAAATTATGCACGGTGAATCATCAGAAAATATAGATTTTTATTGAAATCGCCTTGATATGGATATAACAGCAATATTAATATGAATTATTTAATAAAGAGGTCTGCAGAATTTTTTATAAAAATAAAGAAAAAAAATTCCCTTTTGTGTTTTCTCTCTTTTTTTCTTTCTATTTTTCATTTACTAAAAAAATACCAAGCATATCGAGCTCGGCTTTGCGTATTATTTTACACATATTAATTTGGTCAAATCGATTTTTATGGAAACGTGTAATTCAGAAAGAGATGATATATATAAAGCTAGGTAATTCGCTTTTTTTTACATCTGAACGACCGACATCTCGTAACGTTTTCTTCTGAAATACTCTACGAAATTTTTAGATTCGATGTCGCCACCAAGAACTATTTCCGATCTAAACGACGAGTTCGACGCTATCTGCCATGGCATCGATCACGATACGTCTTGTTAGAACGCGTGAAATCGCTTCCAATCATTTTTCCAGTCACGCCATTCCGTACATGCATCCCCCTACAGCTCTACAGCTCGCCTTATTTCTCATTGCGTCCATTGTAATCGTTAAGGTGAATATATTACCGTGTTGTTTGCGCGACGCCGCGACACGTCTCCCTGATGTGCAATCTCAACGAAATAACTTAGCACAATCGGACGACAAAAACAAACGTCAGCCCGTATTAGCTTTGATCACGTTCAGTCAATAGTCGGGCGAAAACAAAAAAAAAAAAAAACAAAACAGAGGAGAAATGTGACGGGCAATCTCGCGGATTGACATCAGGCGGTCAAAAGCGAGCGCGGGATGAAATTTTTACAATCACGTCCGTTCCGCCGGTTCTGTTTATTTGAATGCTTTCAATTAGACGCAAATGGAAATTGGCCGAAGAAATGAAAGAAACACAGGATGTACGCGAGCGTGCAATTCGAATGCAACGTTTTCACCGCTTCGGGGCTGGCTCCAGCATTCATCCCAAAGTGCACTACAATGTAACGAATATATAACCATAAAAAAGGGACAAACAAGGCCGTCATGCTGCTAGATTTTCTCAAAAATGAGTGGACAGCAACTTTTCGCACAATGATATTTTTAATTATTCCTCAATTCTTGAAGACCTGATCGGTTTTTTGCGCCGCTGTCATGGCTGTAGATCGAACATCTAGCTCATTAACTGGGAATTTATATATCGCTCGAAAGAATCTTTTTTTTTTATCACATTGTTCATTTGAAAAAGAATTATATGTGCGATCGTCTTTATATAATTAAAACTTTTGTGTTTCGTCCCGCTTTATCGCTATTAATCCAATTACTATTGATTAGCGCGCATTCGGGGCATCGCAAAAAGAAGGATATCTTTAAATTCCTTTATAAATAAAATCCTCTAATGCCATTTTATTCATGAATCCAATCTGGAAGTTAATTCCCTAAATGAGTTTCTACTGGAAACGCGGCGTTGCTTTTAATTTACACGCGGTCCGGCCTTGTATATCTTGGAAATAAATGCAGGAGGAGGTAATATGGCGATTACAAGAGGCAATCTAGTTTTTAATACCGTTAGATTTATTTATTTAAGCAGTATACCAGCGGTACGCGGCGGCGCGAACATCTCGCGCGGCTCTCTTCTTTCGGGCCGTTTATTTGACCGGAATTAGCCACTGAATAATGCATGCGAATCCCGGTAGCACGTTAAAGGTATAACACGATTTTATCTGGCATTTATGAGGAAGGCTAAGGACGCGCGACGAGTATGTATATGAACGGCAAACACGGCCAGGATCGCCCTTTTCTGCGTCGGCCGTTATTACATCGCCGTTGTGGTTAGCATTTGCATCTGTATCGAACGCAATAATGTCGCGCACAATGCGAGTTCTGACCCCCGATCGTGTTAACATGTAATCCCGCGTCCGAAGATTTCTGTCAGCTGTTTAAATGAGATTGAAAAGCCGTAAGCACGTTTCCTATATAATAACGTTGCATAATGCATTATCCAGAGTATACACAGAAAAAAAGAAGCGTCAAATCAAAACTTATATACTTAAACTAACGCGTTCATTGTTTCGTATATACACAAGAATTTCTAACCTTCTTAGAAGAATTTAATAATTTTAAATTTCAACAATATTATCGTCTTATTTTAATATTGTAATTATCACTTCAAGAATATATAATTATTTAATTCTACCTTGAGAAAATTATAATCTTTGATTTAAAAACGTTATTTTCTATCAACATTGTTTCTTTTCCATTCAAGAAAATTAAATCTTAAATCATGAGAATATATTTTCGTCTTATTTTAATATTGTAATTGTCACCTCAAGAATATATAATTATTTAATTCTACCTTGAGAAAATTATAATCTTTGATTTAAAAATGTTATTTTCTACCCAACATCGTTTCTTTTCCATTCAACAAAATTAAATCTTAAATCATGAGAATATATTTTCGTCTTATTTTAATAATGTAATTGTGACCTCAAGAATATATAATTATTTAATTCTACCTTGAGAAAATTATAATCTTTGATTTAAAAACGTTATTTTCTATCCACATTGTTTCTTTTCCATTCAAGAAAATTAAATCTTAAATCATGAGAATATATTTTCGTCTTATTTTAATATTGTAATTGTCACCTCAAGAATATATAATTATTTAATTCTACTTCAAGAAAATTATAATCTTTGATTTAAAAATGTTATTTTCTATCAACATTGTTTCTTTTCCATTCAAGAAAATTAAATCTTAAATCATGAGAATATATTTTAGTCTTATTTTAATATTGTAATTGTCACTTCAAGAATATATAATTATTTAATTCTACCTTGAGAAAATTATAATCTTTGATTTAAAAACGTTATTTTCTATCAACATTGTTTCTTTTCCATTCAAGAAAATTAAATCTTAAATCATGAGAATATATTTTCGTCTTATTTTAATATTGTAATTGTCACCTCAAGAATATATAATTATTTAATTCTACTTTAAGAAAATTATAATCTTTGATTTAAAAATGTTATTTTCTATCAACATTGTTTCTTTTCCATTCAAGAAAATTAAATCTTAAATCATGAGAATATATTTTAGTCTTATTTTAATATTGTAATTGTCACTTCAAGAATATATAATTATTTAATTCTACCTTGAGAAAATTATAATCTTTGATTTAAAAATGTTATTTTCTATCCAACATTGTTTCTTTTCCATTCAAGAAAATTAAATCTTAAATCATGAGAATATATTTTAGTCTTATTTTAATATTGTAATTGTCACCTCAAGAATATATAATTATTTAATTCTACCTTGAGAAAATTATAATCTTTGATTTAAAAATGTTATTTTCTACCCAACATCGTTTCTTTTCCATTCAAGAAAATTAAATCTTAAATCATGAGAATATATTTTCGTCTTATTTTAATAATGTAATTGTGACCTCAAGAATATATAATTATTTAATTCTACCTTGAGAAAATTATAATCTTTGATTTAAAAACGTTATTTTCTATCCACATTGTTTCTTTTCCATTCAAGAAAATTAAATCTTAAATCATGAGAATATATTTTCGTCTTATTTTAATATTGTATTTGTTACCTCAAGAATATATAATTATTTAATTCTACTTTAAGAAAATTATAATCTTTGATTTAAAAATGTTATTTTCTATCAACATTGTTTCTTTTCCATTCAAGAAAATTAAATCTTAAATCATGAGAATATATTTTCGTCTTATTTTAATATTGTAATTGTCACCTCAAGAATATATAATTATTTAATTCTACCTTGAGAAAATTATAATCTTTGATTTAAAAATGTTATTTTCTATCCAACATTGTTTCTTTTCCATTCAAGAAAATTAAATCTTAAATCATGAGAATATATTTTCGTTTTATTTTAATATTGTAATTGTGACCTCAAGAATATATAATTATTTAATTCTACCTTGAGAAAATTATAATCTTTGATTTAAAAATGTTATTTTCTATCCAACATTGTTTCTTTTCCATTCAAGAAAATTAAATCTTAAATCATGAGAATATATTTTCGTCTTATTGTAATATTGTATTTGTTACCTCAAGAATATATAATTATTTAATTCTACTTTAAGAAAATTATAATCTTTGATTTAAAAATGTTATTTTCTATCAACATTGTTTCTTTTCCATTCAAGAAAATTAAATCTTAAATCATGAGAATATATTTTTCTCGATTGAACTATATAAAATGGCTTCATTCAAGTAAGCAATTATTCAAGCAATTCTATTTTTCTTAAATTAACGCGATATCTCATTTCAAGATTTCCATGTTAAAACTAAATATATTTTCAAAATAAAAATATCCTTTTTTTCTGTGTAATATACGGTACACGTGGTACATATCATCGCGCGCACGTAAAAGCGTACAAGTGAAAGACGTCATAATAATTCATCGTCGTATATCAAAATTCATCGTTCGCGTCGTAACTTTCGATCGTTGAAACGTTTAATGAACGATACTGTGTTTTTCATAATACGCTTAATTCTCGACCGTAAAAGAGTGCGCGTCATAACCGCGTAGAGCTTCCTTTGGCGATTAAACGTACGTACTTGACAGGAGTCACGCGAGTATGCGTGGGTGCGTGTATGTGCGATACGAGAAAAAAAGATATGAATCCGAAAGGGATGGCGAATCGATGCAAAGTACTAAAGCCGTCTTTTATAGGAGGCATAAAGCAGGAGCGAAACGCTTTTATTCGCGCTTCGTCGGTGTGCGTGTTTATGCGTTCGGTATGGAACTTTCATTATTCAGAGGGTTCGTTAACAACCAGTTATTTTCCTTTCGCGCAAATATACACCGTGTAGAGAGGAGAATACGCGTCGGGGGTGTAATTATCTTCCTCTCGTGGAGTTACATGAATCATCAAAAAGCGCGATAGGTGCGTGCCGTGAACGATGCATATTACAAAATTGTGTAAAGTCATCCCACTTTCTACCACGGTCATGATTCTTTCATGAGAACCCCGCGTCTGAACGACCGCGAATTTTTATTATGCAATTGCAACATATCGTGCGAGAAAATACATCGTACAAGTTTTTCTTTATTTGTCGCTAATAAATTTTTTATCGAAAATCTGTTACTTTTTATTACTTTATCGGATATTTCTCATCTTATTAATACTCACCTTGCGGCACAATCTTGTCCAGATCTCTGGTCCAATAATTGATAGATTTCGGAAATGCTTCTGAGGAACATTCGAGGGTCAGCTTCTGACCTTCGCGAGCGCCTACTAACTGATTTTGAACCCAAATCATTGGCGGAACTGAAACAATTACGAAACAATTAAATTTCAAATTTCAGATATGGCATCCTTGTAAGCGAATCCTCGATCTCTATTTGCACAATTGTCTTAAATGATTACTTTTGTATGTAAATATAAAAGATTCTTTTTTATATTCTTTACGTTGATATTTCTGATAATGAAATAAATTTTCGATATTTAATATTTGATATAAACGCGTCAACTAGTCAACTATTTAAATTTTTGTGATGATAATTTTATCAAAGAAATAAAAAAACTCGTAATATAAATGAAATTGAAATAAAATTCAATTTGAGATAAAATGCACGGTATAGAATATACGTACAATGCACAGTAAGCATTATTCTTTTACTGACGGAGGGTGGCACGCCATTGGATGCGATGCATAAATAGGAACCCATATGCAGCCGGTTAACTTTTGTAATATTAAAGTTTGAACCATCCACGCTCAAAACTGTAATCAGAAAAAATAATGATAATCGTAAAAATCATATAAATGTTATTTTATACATATTATTATATTGTAATTTTATATAATTGTATATGATTTTGTACACACGCACACACACACGTGATATCTGATTTTTTTTATACAGACACGTAACATTATGTTAACATTAAAATTAAATGGTTTAAAATTAATTAGATATTACTGATTAATAATTATTTTTAATGCTATCAGTTATGATGCGAAACTAATTCTGAGAAAAATAATGTCTTATTCCGAATCAAAGATACTCTTATTACGGAATTTATTGGAAGAAATGAATTTCATTTGTCAATAAAGTGAAAAAAGTGTGAAAATTTTGTCGAGCGGACGAAATTACATACAACTATATGTTGGAAAGGTATCAATAAGTTTGCAACAAGAATTTCCGTGAGAAATATGATCGATGTTATCGGTGATAAATCGAGGTAGATGTAACTTTTACGCTATGACATCGAATGCTTTTTGGTGTCAATCGATTTTTGCATGAAACATGGAACGTCAGACCTCAGTGGAATTCGCCAAATTTTTGTTTTTTTGTTTTTTTATTCTCGGGAATGTGTTACGGTTTTCGGGAATTTCGATAAAGTTATAGCTATAGACAACTCGGTGCATGGGAAAAGTGCGTGATGTCGGATCGGCGAATCGCTTTGATGTCGATATTTTTATTAGCACTGGCAGACCAAAACTGTAGAATTTCCGAAAAACTTCGCAATTAGATTAAAAAAATACCGTTTTTGCCCATAATATATTGTTCTATTCATAGTTTTTAATTATCGATAACATTATATAAATTAAAGATCAATATAATTATTTTTTAAATAAAAAAAAAACAATTTTTTAAAAAGCAACAATATATAAATTATTTTAAAACGATTCTATAATTCGATCAATGGCTCAAATAACGCCGATGGCATTTCTCTCCGTACTTTGCATTGGAAATTTCATATTTTTCGTCCATTTCAGTGAAGTTTGCGAAGTACATTTGTGCGATTTTTTTTTTGACGTCAGCACCGTTACTGGCATCGCACGCGACACGACGGAAATTGGTTGCCAAAGTTTCGTCACTTATACTATTCGTTTCAATTTAGAAACGAATTGAATTGCATTTAGATTCCGTACGTTGGTTGAATTCCCGAATGCAAAATTTCATGTAAATTTATTACAATTATTGTATACACGTCTTAAAATCGTGAGATTTTATCGTAAGAATAATGCTGGCACCGACTCGCAACGCGTACATGGCAGAAATACATGCGCGAAAACTTTTGTCATTTTATCAATGTAACCATTATCGCCGGCGAAGAAGGACCACTTCCGCGCGCTAAAATGCACTGGGAAAATGTGCAAACTGCTTTGACGAACGACCGCATAATGCAGCAGCTGCGGACCCGATTGCCAGAAACTTCAGCACGTATGCGACCTCTATAAAGCATTTTAAATTATACTAATACACAGACAATGGATGATGATAAATAAAACATACAGCAGACTATTATTAAATTTTCTCTCAAATTCGGGATATTTCATGAATTCTCATTGTTCATGAAACATATTTGTGCGATAATGTTAAATTCAATGAAATAAAAGATAAATATGACACAAAATTCCCGAACATTTAATATGTAATCATAATTTGAGATTTGAAATATTAATTAACAAATATGAGCGAAAGTGATTCAAGCTGGTTTGTATCTTTTCTCCCTGCATTCGAAATTCAAATAGCAATTTACAGAGAGTCGTTAAACTCTGGCAACACAGTTTGGAGACCATCTGCATTACAAGGTGCAAATTCAGTTTACTTATCCGAAAGTTTAGGCTGTCTATATGTCCCTCCCTGCTCTCTCTCCACAATTAAATCCGTCAGAAAATTTATACCGCGTTTTGATAATTGATTAAATGTCGTTGGAAAAGACAGCAGCAATTAACTACGATGTAAATACGACATACGTTAAAGTAAGGGATTCCTTTAAGACGCGCAAGCGTCTTAAAGAACTTTTACATAAAGGACTTTTCTATTAAAATGTAATTAAAGAAGCATAATGACAAATTTGACAGGATATCGGAAGCTAATGAAGCTAACTTGCTCGAGTGCAATACCCATCGAGGTAAGATTACATACCGCACCGAAGTTTCAAATAATTTAATAATGCTTCAGAGTGTAACAATATCCTAATCATAATATCATTATACTGTATCTTATTGGATTAATATACAAGTTCGAATCTCTCTAATATACGAACACGTGTCGCGTATCTACAGCTGTCGAAAAAAAAATTGTTACATGTGTTACACAGGCTTGCGTTTTTTTTTCAAGATGCAATAGTGATTTCCGACGTAATTTTGTGCACTGAATCCAAATCTGACCGCAAATTTGCATAGCACGTCACGTTTTTGAGTAATTTATAATTGAATGGCTCAAAAATCGCTAAGCTTTTGGCTCATTTCATGAATTTATTGTGGGGAAACCAAATTTTTTGAAATATTTCTGCCAATGGCATTGTATAATATTTGCTTTCGCATTTCAAATCCACTTTCGATTACTGCCGCACGATTTTTTTCCCTGAGATATACAGGGTGGCCCATTTTAATTTCCCCAGCCAAATATTTCGGAAAATAATGAAAAATCAAAAAAATGTTTCAGACAAAAGTTGTATGGCTTGAAGGGGGACATAAGATAGTATCATTGGTTTTATCTTGAAAAGTTGTTTGAACGTCACATCAAGACCACCTTCAATTTTTTAAATGGAATCCCCTATTTTTTATTACTTATTCGTGTAGCTTATCTCGAGAGCTTTTCAAAATACTATAATAAAGTATTTCTTCATTGAGTACTTTTCGAGTTATGAGGCTTGAAATCATTTCTTAATTTTGTATAAACCGTAAAATATCTAGTAAAATATTCATTTTTCGATTATCTTGTTTTAATAGTTTTATGTACAAAATAATGAGAGAAATCAATTGGTGTAAAAAAACACATAGTTGTTTCAAAGAAAAAATATGTAATTGTTAATTGCAAATTACATATTTTTTCTTCAAAATAACTATGTGTTTTCTACAAAATTTATGCGGTTTATACAAAATTAAAAAATGATTTCAAGCCTCATAACTCGAAAAGTACTCAATGAAGAAATACTTTATTATAGTATTTTGGAAAGCTCTCGAGATAAGCTACACGAATATGTAATAAAAAATAGGGAGTTCCATTTAAGAAATTGAAGGTTACCTTTACATCATCTTCAAATGACTCTCCAAGGTCAAATCATTGCCACTATCTGATGGCCCCCTTCAAGCCATATAACTTTTGTCTGAAACATTTTTTTGATTTTTCATTATTTTCCGAAATATTTGGCTGAGGAAATTAAAATGGGCCACCCTGTATAAGTATGACGTTGTAAGAAAATTTATAGACATAAATATAGAAGATCCATGATGTTAAAAGTTGAAAAGACTGACATATGTCAGATTCGGTTGGCCAAAAAAATATTGTAAGGAAATGTCTAATACAATTGTTACACATTTTGATAAATTTTTCTAAATTTTATGCCTTTTTATTGTAATTCTATTCGCCATATTGGATGCGCCATTTTTAATTTCAAAAGATAACAGAAAGTATTTAAAAATGTATATTTTTAAATTTTGATTCGTAGGGAGATAGAGAGGTGGCACGGTGATTTAGAATGGCTTATTGGATCCCTATGCATGACCAGTTTTATAACTTGTATATCTGAGCGAAAAAAAATCGTGCGGCGATAATCGAAAGTGGATTCGAAAGATGAAAGTGTGTACTATGCGATACCATTGACAGAAATATTTCAAAAAATTTCGTTTACTCACAATAAATTCATGAAATTGGTCAAAATAGCGATTTTTCGGCTATTCAACTACAAATAACTCAAAAATTTGACGTGCTACGCAAATTCGGCGGCCAGATTCGGATTCAGCGCACAAAATTACGTCAAAAATCACTATTGCATCTTAAAAAAAAAATTTTGACTTCCTCTTTCGCAGGCCTGTGTTATTCTTCCGGAAGAAAACCGACATGGACATTTCTCGATTTCGAATGGCGATCCATCACTGCGGTATCTTTACATCTTTCTCCTCGGCGCTATAACGTACCTTATCGAATTGAAAGCGTGAAAGCGAAACTATGGTTGGCATAATCGTTCGGTTTAAAGTCGATCCGGTTGTTTATCGGGCCCATAACGTATACGCGGGCCGCGCATTTACGCGTATCAGGTATGTGCTCGCTGTGTTTGCCAATTTCAATGCAAATATAGAAGATCTTCTCGGTCTCGGCAAACGTATCACCTCGCTCTAATCTATTGGTCTTGCTACGCGGTGTGTTTGCGCTCCCAAGTGGCCGCCACGAAGCCACTAGTCGGGCTTGATACTGCCGTTGGAGCTGCGATGCACTCGCGATGCAGTTCAGTCCACCCGAATATATTCTCCACGAACCGTAAATCTTTTTTTTTTTCAGATGCCTTTGCGAGCTCTCGGCGCATTTAAGGATGTTAACGGGATATTTACTCGATTCGGGCCACTCGAGCTTGCGTCCTCGTTCCTTTTGAAGACCCCATTTATCTCTCCGTCAGAGATGAAAAATAATTTACACCCCATATACGATATTTATAAATACTTGAAACTTGTCCTTTCCCACTTTATAAACGCGTTTGTCGGGGGCGAATTAAATTATATTTTTAAAACGCTTCGCGTATGTCCTTTTTGCAAGTCGACTGTAAAAGTTACAAACTTCATGAATGAAGTCCTCCTCTCGCTTTTGTATGCTTACATGTTACATGTTACACGGTTGACAGTTTCGCATAAATAAAAAAAAGCTTGAAATTAATGCGCATTATAGCGGAAATATTCGGTGGTAAAAGTGGAAACGTAGTAGGAAAAGTTTATAAAGAATTGAAGAGAGCAACTTTCTCTCTCTTTCTCTCTGACAACTTTGAAAATCTCGCAAAGGTAAATGCGGATCGCGGAAATTGCATGATCGTTCTGCACGGGAAGCTAATGACATGTAAAATACTTGGTACACGTTGGAGCAAGAGACTCGCGCGCGAATTCAAAAAGAGGGGTTAAAAGCGCAACCCCCCAAAAAAGACTGCATCGCAAATGATACAGGCCTGCGAGGTTTTTCTTTTTAAGATGCAATAGTGATTTCCGACGTAATTTTGTGAGCTCATTTCGAATTTGGCCGCCGAATTTGCGTAGCACGTCACATTTTTGAGTAATTTGTAATTGAATGGCTTAAAAATCGCTATTTTGGCCAATTTCATGAATTTATTGCAAGGAAATCAAATTTTTTGAAATATTTCTGCCAATGGCATCATCTAATACTCACTTTCGCCTTTCAAATCCACTTTCGATTACCGCCGCACTATTTTTCTTCGCTGAGATATATAAGAATGACGTTGTAAGAAAATTTACATTAAAGAAAATTTATATAGACATCAATATGGTAGATCCATGATGTCGAAAGTTGAAAAGACTGATTCGGTTGTCCAAAAAAGTATTGTAAAGAAATATCTAATACAGTTGTTACGCATTTTGATAAATTTTTCTAAATTTTATACCTTTTTATTGTGATTCTATTCGCCATATTGGATGCGCCATTTTTAATTTCAAAAGGTGACAGAAGGTTTAAAAATGTATATTTTTATCCTAATGTTGATTCGTAGTGAAATAAAGAGTGGAAATGTAGCGAAATAAAGGTGACACGATTGATTTAGAATGGCTTATTAGATCCTTATACATGACCAGTCTTATGACTTGTATATCTGAGCGAAAAAAAATCGTGCGGCGGTAATCGAAAGTGGATTCGAAAGATGAAGGTGAGTACTATACGATGCCATTGACAGAAATATTTCAAAAAATTTCGTTTACTCACAATAAATTCATGAAAATGGTCAAAATAGCGATTTTTCGGGCTAATCAACTACAAATATCTCAAAAACTTGACGTGCTATGCAAATTCGGCGGCCAGATTCGGATTCAGCGCACAAAATTACGTCAAAAATCACTACTGCATCTTAAAAAGAAATTTTGAACCACTTTTTTGCAGGCCTGTGTGATCGTCGGTTGCACTCTCGGCGAGAAAGCATCAAATGCGCCGCGTCTTCTCGTCGTATTCGATTAGTTCTCGCCATAAACGAGGCATCCGCCGACGATGAGAGCATGTACGAGAGAAATAAAGAGAGAGAGAGGGGAGAGAGAGAGAGAGAGAGAGAGAGAGAGAGAGAGAGAGAGAGAGAGGAGAGGAGAGAGAGAGAGAGAGAGAGAGAGAGAGAGAGAGAGAGAGAGAGAGAGAGAGAGAGAGAGAGAGAGAGAGCCACCCTTAATTCAGCGAATTTTCCCGGCTTTATCGCCGACCTGACTGCGAATTACGGTCGTTCGCGGGCAACTCTCGTTAAAACCAACCTTCGCTCCCGTCCGCGAGGTGAATTTGCTGACCGTCCTCGCGTCGCCAGGTGATGTTAGGCGCCGGGGAGCCGGTCGCGGCGCAACGCAGGGTCACGTTCCGCCCCTCCATCACCACCATGTCCGTGCTGGTATCATAGTCCAGGATGTCGGGCGGCACTGTCGGCAGAAAAGTGCGACGTCCGTTAAAATACTGCATTGATAAAATATAAACTGCGTGGAAACGCAAAATATGAAAAAAATGTTTCGGGACAAGTCGAGGGGAAAAATTCCAAACATGTCAACCTCGTTTACATCGTATTTCGAACGTTTCAATTTTTATACGATTGCATAAAATCCCTCCAACGAGAATCGCAATCGCGATTACATAATTCTTGAAAATTGCCCTCCGCGAAGAGCTATTCATTTCGAAAATAGATATCAGCGATTCAACGGAGAGTTGGAGGGAAAAGTGCATTAAATCAAGGAAAACCGAGTTGGATCGAGGATCACCGCTATATTTGTCTTTAATCCTTCTAATGGACTATCTTTGAACGTATATAAGAATCATGCGATATTTAATAAGAACGCTCACATCCGGTATCTGGGTACCAGAAATTGCGCGGTGAGGGAGCGTACGCAGGAAGCAATAAATCCGACATCTTCGTGACATTTACCGATGCAACCCTCCGAATGCAAACTCTCAAACATTTAATACGCAACAATAACGCTCGTAAGTTACCTCTCGCAGGCAGTAAGGATGGACAAGTATATCTGGTCGTTCATAAATCAGCTGGCGTGGATTAGTTCTCTGTATGCGCCGAGAGGGTAGAAACTACAAACGGCACGTGCATAGGCGACGCATACAGGCTGCACGTAATAAAGTACAGAATGATAACGACGCGGGCACGACGCATCCGCGTCATCTCCGGCGGAAGCGAACTCGCGACGCACCCTATCTACTGAATGGTACACGCTCGGACCCTATGTACGGCCATTAAAGAGGGGGATCTGCAGGATATTTCGGATCTCACTACAACTTTCTGAGATTCGAGGAATAACAATGTCGAGCTGAGCAGAGTTTAGGATAGTCTGGATAGGACTCGAGAATACTTGGATATGTCTATTCATTATTCTGTTGCCCTATATACAGAGTGTCCCAAAAGTCCAGGACCGGTCGAATATTTCATAAACTATGCACTTTAGAAAGAAATGTTTCAGACAAAAGTTGTATGGCTTGAAGGGGGCCATCAGATAGTGGCAATGATTTGACATGGGAGAGTCATTTGAAAGACACATGAAGATTACCGTCAATTTCTTAAATGGAACTCCCTATTTTTTATTACATATTCGTATAGCTTATCTCGAGAGCTTTCCAAAACACTATAATAAAGTATTTCTTCATTGAGTACTTTTCGAGTTATGAGGCTTGAAATCATTTCTTAATTTTGCATAAACCATGAAATATCTATTAAAATATTCATTTTTTGATTATCTTATCTTAATAATTTTATGTACAAAATAATGAGAGGAATCAATTGGTGTAAAGAAAACACATAGTTGTTTAAAAAAAAAAATGTAATTATTAATTGCGAATTACATATTTTTTTCTTAAAAACAACTATGTTTTTTCTTTACACCAATTGATTCCTCTCATTATTTTGTACATAAAATTAAGGTAAGATAATCGAAAAATGAATATCTTACAAGATATTTTACGGTTTATGTAAGATTAAAAAATGATTTCAAGCCTCATAACTCGAAAAGTACTCAATGAAGGAATATTTAATCATAGTGTTTTGGAAAGCTCTCGAGATAAGCTACACGAATATGTAATAAGAAATAGGGAGTTCCATTTAAAAAATTGACGGTGATCTTCACGTGACTTTCAAATAACTCTTCCATCAAATCATTGCCACTATCTGATGGTCCCTTTCAAGCCATACAATTTTTGTCTGAAACATTTCTTTCTAAAGTGCATAGTTTATGAAATATTCGACCGGTCCGGGACTTTTGGGACACCCTGTATAATACATACGCAAGGGTGGAGTGATAAGTTCCCGGCCTGATAAAGAAGAAAACAGTTTTTTGGATTTTTTTTCATTTTATTTTTCAACATAATCTCCACAAAGACTAATTCCTCAAAATACCCATTTATAGGTAGCGATGGCTAATATCATCGAATTAAAGTTTGAATTGCTTCCCCAACCGTCTTATTTGCCAGATTTAGCACCCAGCGATTATCATCTATTCCCTAATCTCAAAACATGGCTTAGTGGAAAAAAATTTAAGAGCAACGAGGAAGTCAACGCTGTAAGTGGGTATTTTGAGGAGCTCGCCGAATCGTACTATAAAGTTGATATCACTGTAATAGAGCCTTTATGAAAAATGTATTAGTCTTCGTGAAGATTATGTTGAAAAATAAAATAAAAATATCCATAAAACTTTTTTTCTTTATCAGGCCGGAAACTTATCATCCCACCCTCGTATTTCGTCCTACACCTATTGTCAAAAGTTCCAGAATCCATAAATGTTCGCGAAATTGTTCGGCGTGATTTTTCAAATTCAATTGAATGTTCGTAGGTGCAGCTGATTGTTGTAGCTCTCCACTTTACTTCAACCTTCGATTCTCGCGTGAAAGGATGACTTTTACGATTCGGAAAGAATCGCGCGACACGCGTGTGCGACTCCCAACGCGCTCGTTGCGGATATCATAATTCGAGCGTGGCCAGGTTATCCCGCGGCCAAGCTTTTCCATTTGGCTACAGCCATTAAAGTCGACCCGAACTCTCCTCCTTTATTTTCCCTTTCTCCGTCAGTCCTTCTCTCTCTCTCTCGTACTTGGTTGCTCTTCCTCTCTTACCTTCTCCCAGGGCGTTGAACAAACGCGTCCCTCGCGAGTAATGTCTTACTAGATTCTCCTACACGAGAATCGGGGCCACAAGGCTGCATCGGTTACCGAAGGGAGGAACAGGACGAGGTTGACGGGGTCGATTTTATTCCGCCCTACGGCCGGAACTCGATTTGCGGTTGAGTGCCCGTATGGGTGATGCTGAATTGGCGGGTCAAAGCTACCTAGAGTCTCCACCTGCCATCGGGAGGACCCGTTCCTCTTTCGCTGGCCCTATCGTCTGCACAGTCGAACATTTGTTCGCTCGTTTATTCCTTCGTTTATTTCATCCTACGCATCTATTTGGGGACCATGCGAATTTTCATGCGATGAAACTTGTAATAACTGACGCATTTCGCGCTATTTTGTACTAAATGGGAATAATAATATATTTATTATTTTATATTATTAATATTACACATGTATTGGATATCCTGGGCGTTAAAAAAGTCTGGACACGGTCGAATATTTCGATAAGGAAGAGATTTATTAGAAAGTGTTTCACATAAAAGTTGTATAGCTTCAAGGGGGACGTAATATAGTACCATTGGTTTGACCACGAAGAGTTATTTGAAGGTCACATGAAGGTCGCCTTCAATTTCTTAAATGGAACCTATTCCTTTTCATTACATATTCTTGTAGCTCACCTTGAGAGCTTTCCAAAACACTATAATTAAGTTAGTTTTTATTAAGTACTTTCCGAGTTATGAGGCTTGAAATAATTTCTTAATTTTACATAAACAGTGAAATATCTTGTAAAATAATCATTTTTCGATTATCTTACCTTAATACTTTTATGTACAAAATAATGAGAGGAATCGATTGGTGTAAAGAAAACATGTAGTTGTTTTTGAGAAGAAATATGTAATTGTTAATTGCAAATTCAGGTCATTTCTAGTAAAACTCTTCCTTATCGAGATATTCGACCGTGTCCAGACTTTTTTAACACCCAGTATGTTATTTAAAAAGATAACAAAAAACTGAATATTAAAAATAGAATCCTGTGCTAATGTCTGTTAATTAACACACATAAATATTATATAATATTCATAATAAGAAAATACATTATTATTAATAATGAAAAGTGTGTTGCATTATATGAAATGATAGATAGATGGTACTTGCGAAAAATTACAAAATATTGTTTAAATCCTTTCCTCTCTTTCTCAATATATAAAAAAATTAATTAATTAATTTTAAGTTTTCCTAACTGAGACTTATGCACAATTCACTGAGTTATATCATCCGATTTCTCAAGTCGATGTATTCAGTGAAAACTTTACAACAAATTGGGCGCTACCGCGGTTGCAATCCGCTTTTACTCCTCCGTTCCATCTACTGCTCTACTGTTTTGTAACCCGACAGACGCTAAACTACAAAACAAAACTCGGCACAATCGCTCATGCGGCTGCTACCGTTTACCACCACATCAATCTGAACCCAAATCTTACTCCCTGCACTTAACTGTATATAAAGCATTATCTCAATACCTACGCGAATTCAGTCACTCTTTGTCCTTGGTGACTTTTTTGTTTATCTCCCGGCAGCTTTTCTATACAAAACATATACAAACATATATACAAACATATACAAAAGGTTAATGAATTTTGAAAAGTTTCTCGAGCCACTTCCACAAAAGTTACGTGATTACGCGTAACAATAATGGATAGATATTTTTATAAAATATAGCGATACGTCGCCATCAAGATCATATTATTGATTATTAAATGTATGATGAAGCTTGTACAATTTTTCAGTTATTTTTGCGACCACGTCCACCATCTATCTCAGGTATTATTTCATACATACGTCCACAACATACATATACACGATGATAAGCCGTCCCGCTCGGCATCCGTCATCCTCGCATCAATCCAGATTTGGTACGCCGCTTCTATTATTGTGACATAGTCGACTGCTAGCTTATATGCATATGCTAATGGGATATAAAACAATTTTAATATGAAATTTAACGATCTTCCGCTTTGTTTCAAGCGGACAATTATTTGACGTGGATTACGAGTGATAATACTGTTTTTGACAATACGCAGTTCTCTCGCGATTCAAGCGGGACGTTATAGAATTATTATAATCTGCTGATGAAAGGCGCGGAGAATGTGCCACTGACATCTACGCGACTCCGTATATAGTATTATCTTGTGTAACAATAACCATATGCAAATAGGTCTTCATTTATTATAGTGTTGCTGAACACCATTCGGAATTGATATACGTCTGCAATATGTTCCTACTACACCGAACAGTTTATTCACATTGTTCTGCATGGTCT